TTTCCACGTCTGTCGTACCGAATGGCCGCGAGGCGCCCGCCGTCGCCACAGGCGCCGAGCCGTTCGCCTGGAGCTGTGGCGCGTAGCCCCATCGGGCGACGTTGACTGGCAGCCACGAGCCTTCGCCGCTTGTGTTCCCCGGGCACGTTGCCAGACGACCTTCAACGAGGCTGCTTCAGGTGGCTTCTTCTCCCACTCTAGGTTTCATCCTTGTCTGCCCGCCCGTAATACATCACCTTCTCGCTGACAACACGTTCACCTTCGCCCTTTGCGCACGACGCGACCATCCTCTGCTGCCAGCAACGCCTTGTTCGCGTCGCGATACATGCTCACCGGGACGTCAACATGTCAGCGCTGCCATGCCTGATAGCGATGGCCACCCTCAGGCCTTCAGGCTGAGCCGCCGGCGCCCAGGGCCTAATTTGATAGCCATTAATATCGATTGTCAAAACTGTCGCGTGCATCATCCGAATTGCGCCCTCCCATTGGCCAGCGTCCTCAAAGTGGGCTTCGTACAAGCATAGACGCCGGCGCCGAGCCAACCGCGAATCCCTCGAATCGGGCGCGTGGTGCGTCCCGAGTCGACGACAAAAGACCGCGTCTGCCGTCCCTGCAGGCCCTCTCTTGGTCTATTGTGTGGGTGTGCCGAACCTGCTGATGTGGGCCCCAAGGTCCTGCACGTCTGGCTAACCCCTGGGCTCATCATAAAACCACGCACCGGTGCGTACTAGGCCAGGATCCGGATATGCAGACGTTCACCCGGATATCACAGCAGTAGTTTGTCCAGGAACGAGTGCGCCTCCAGCGCGCCACGGATGCGCTAAGTTACTTATCATCGATGCCGCCCCGCAGTGGTTCCTCGCCCCCGCTCGTCATCGCGAGAGGCTCGCACCTCCCTTCATCGTGCTCGCAAATCGGCAGTGCTCCCCGCGTGAGCAAGACATGCCGACCGCGGTCGTGGTGCCGAATTCGGTATGTCTACGACATAGTCTATGACGATGTGACGCGCAGCTGTCCCTCCATATATGTCTCTCTGCATTCGTGCGCTGTATGCTGCCCATACGATCCTGCAGCTGTCTGGGTGCTCATGATCCCCGGTGGCGCGGTACGGTCACTCGCTCCTACCGATCGTGCATACATCACAGATTGTCTCACAGGCGTACCGAGCTGCATGCGAAAGTGCAAGTACTTGTCATATTTTACTTGTCAAACTCGGAATGCAAAAAAGCAGTCCCATCCGGTTCCGTCACCCACAGCCTCGGAGCAGCTATCATAACATTTCGAGACCGCCTGACCGCCCACTTCTGTCTGCGAGCTGACTGAATCAATATTGGTTCCGTCGACAATTTTCATGGCACCCTGACCTGTACGCCACCGCACTATTATGCCCACTATGCCCACTGTGCTAATATCAATATTTGCTTCGCAGTTTCATCCTCCCGCCCCGCAGCGCACTTCTCGCGCTCAGGGCCTCGCACCTCTAGATTACGGGCTCCAACCACCGAACCACGCTAGATGCACCCGCCACCATCGCTCATTTGGTAATCCCGCTCTCATCAGGACATTGCCAACTATCGCCAACATATTGCTCCTCCGCTTCCGGCGCCGCGCCACCATCAACGAGCGATCAACGCTGAACTTACCGTATATGGGAGGTCGACTGCCGGATTAGGTGCGAAGGCCGATCCGCGCCCCGGGGGCCAGGTGATCCCGCCGGCATCGCCTCGGGCGAGCGCGCGTCTGGTGGTGGTGGCCTTGACGACCGACGCCGGACAACGGTCGACGTTGTGCGGTTCCTTTACGTGGGACGACTCTAGAGGCTTCTCTTCTCTCGTTGTCCCGGACTCGGCGGGGTGATGTGCGTTGCCTCCGCAAGGCAAGTCCTGTTTTGGCGGCGTTGCGGATTGGCGGGAACTGAGCGCTGAGCCGGCGTGCGACGCGTTGCGGCCTGGACAGCAGTTCGCCATCTGGTTTACATATCATTACCAGTCAGTGGATGCGTTTCCGTAAGGATTTACGGACGTTTTATTGACTCTAATCGGCTTCAGGCGGAGCCTGAATATGGTTAAGAGCCTTCCTCCAGATCCGTAACGCACGTTTAGAAGTATTCTGCACCTGCTAATGTGGCTTCCCTTGCGTACTGGTATGCCGCGCACTACGAAGAGAGGGAGGCTATGTGCGCAATGATACAAGGACCTGTGAATACTTATACAGTCACTTCGAGCCATCGAGGACTTCGCCAACTGTCGCGTAGAGCATGGACGCACGTCACAATCACTGCATGTAAGTGCTGTGCCTATATAATTATTCATCGCACGAGGAATGACCGGTACTCGACTGACAACGATTGAATCAGAGTGATGTCATTTTGAAGTCTTCAAGTTGTCGCCGCTGCCTCTGCACAGGTCAACCAGTGCACAGACTCTAACGTCCGTGTGTGCATGTGAGTACGGTACCGTTACGTGCGAGCAGGAATATAGCTTACGTAATCTACCAGGCGGCTACTCTACGATGCATGAAGGTCCAGCTCCCCTTATACGCCTCCCGGAAGGCCTCCGCCAGGCCCCGCTCCGAGCTCTAGCACCGTAAGCATTACTCAAGGTTTTGAGCGCCTGTTGCATGACCTGTGGCGGGAATCCGCGGGATCGATGGTAGGGGTGAAAGCTCTGCTTAGCTGTTTTTGAGCTGTTTGCACTCTGCCAGGCACCGGGCTAGGAGGTATCCCGAGCTCGACCTGCACCCTTACCTGCCCGGATGCACATCGGCCAGCGAGGGTATGGGTTCCGCGCGCGTGAAGGCAGGTCCGCGGGCCCACAGGCAAGTGGGAGAGTATGAGCCCGGGCAAGCAGGTACGCGGGCAGGTGGGCGATCGCGTGGGTGACGGGTGAGGTGGGCGGCCGGCCAAGCGGATGGATGGGAGCACGGGCGAGAGTGGTATCTGAGAGGGGCCGTGGGCAAGAGGGCATGCGAGCGTGTGGGCGGGCAAGCGGTAGGCGAGAGCGCCAGGGCGAGCGGGCGAGAAGGCAAGTGGGTGAGAAGGCCAGGCCATCGAACGAGTGGGCGAGCAAGCAGGCAGGCGAGCTGAGTAGCCAGAGAGCAAGGGCGAACGGGTGGGCAGGTGGTAGCGGCCGTACAGGTGAGAGTGGCCACGCAGGTGAGGGTGGACGGGCGGTTACGAGCTACCAAGAGCGCTGATATATTCGAGCAAGGTCAATGTGGTGCTCTTCGTGTATCATCAAGGTATTTCAGAGCTACTCACACTTCGTGTTGTACATACTTAACGGAAGCTAACTACACGTTCAGTCTTGGTAGTGTTATGCCACAAGTTGGTACTGCTCGGCGTAGATATCGTGAGGTCAGGCCTTTGTAGGCCCTCACTCGGCTTGCTAGCTACCCAAAAGATGAGCCATTTGTAATGATCACTCGATATAACTCACTAAATCAGACAATTTTCGATTGATATTCTGACACACATACGAGAAAACGAGCCTAGCACAGTACGAACCATCCAGCAACGCCGGAAAAGGTAATCGGGCAAATGCCGACACACAGTGAAGCCTCCTACAACCGACTCTAAATGTCCCATCAAGCAGGGGGGTCCCAACCCCCTTGCTTGATCGTCGTGGTTAGAGCAGTGTTCTCGACGTTTCAGAGCTAGACATTTGCGCGCCTGCGGCAAAATATATTTCCCGTCATCTCGATCTTAACGCCACTGCCGGCACCACGGCCGCCTTCCTATTGTAGTTGTCGGACTTCAGGATATTCATGCTCAACCTGTTTACGGCGGGTCTCACGGGCGCTTCTTCACGCTCATTTGAGGTTTAAGGCCATCAAACCGCGTCCAAATCCTTACGGAAACACATCCAGTGACTGGATCCACTGCATTGCCCATAAGCGGGTGTATTTTTTGTAACCTGTCGTTCCGAACTAAGTTACATCTGTCTGCATCTGTTCCACGATTGAGCACGGAATGCAGGTGGGTGCTGTACAACGACTGACGAGAGCATCGTCGAAGCCAATACTTGATACTCACAGCTATGGTCTCCTACTTGGCGGATCCGGTTGCAGCTTCCTTGGATGGCCTCGATTCTCCACGCCCACATGGTGGCGTACGGCCGCCGCTTTCGCCTCCGAGTTTCGCTGGTAAGTGGACTCTACGGACAGAATAGAATTTCACACGTGGGTTAGGATAGGCACGTACGCTCACCGGCTGGTACATTCCACTACGGCCAATACCAGTTCAGTGGTTCGTAGTACCATGATGCGCCTTCTATTGGACTTTGGGGTGCGACACATCGGATTGTTTGGCCTGCCACGAACTCCGAAGGCATATCCACGCTTGTCTTACACTCCCCCGATCCGCGTTTCGCAGCGGTTGCAAGGACACCCATGCCGCTCGTGCGCAGGTCCGGAGTGTTAACTCGGAACGAGGAGATTTTGTGACTTGATGGTCACTGCGACTCGGAGCGACGATGCGCGAGCCTGTGCGTGAGCTGAGCTTGTGGATTACATCAGGCTCCGTTGTTCGACTTCATCACATTGACAGACCTTGACGATTACAGGTGCTCCGTGTTCAATGTGGGGATGTGCAACGCCTCTTACTCGGGCGGCCAGCGTCTACGTCCGCCGAGATCACTGCCGTGTGGCTGCCGCTGTGTGCCGTGTGGCTGCCGCTGTGTGCCGTGTGGCTGTCGCTGTGCGCCGTGTAGGCACCGGCTGGTACTGCCATCTGCAGATTCAGCTGCCTGTATTCTTGCGCTATCTACGCGAGATCGTAGATCTAAATATCTTATTCTTATTCTTAGGTCTCAGTGGCACGTCGAGCATGGTAAGTGGCGAGAAAGCGAGTGGGTAGATGGGTGCAGGCGGTCGAGTCGGCATGCTGGTGGGCATGCGATCAAGACAGCCGTGTGGCAGAGAGCACACATCGGGGGATAACTTACATCGAGCGACAGGCTCGATGTATCCACCGCATGCATCTTGCATGCATCGGTATTGAACTAGAGAGGCGGTCTGGTGGAGCTTGGAGGCTCCCCAGACACGCCGTCTCGCGAGTTGGGGGCAGCAAGCACGCTTCTGGTGCTGCTGCACAGGCCCAGCACCCCGTTCGTGAAGTTGGAGAGGCACGCAACGAGCTCGTCGTTCGTCGTGTTGCCTTCCGACATGGGTGCTGCGGCTGGTGACGTGCGTACTGGGTACACCTTTGCAGTGTGTACCTCGGGGCCGTCGTTCGTACATGAGAGGTTGACGAGCGCGCCGGGTACGCTTGTGAATACACCGGGCGTGCCGTTGTTCCCGTCGACAGCGTGTACATCGAGTGGGATGCTCGACGTACCGTCTGCATCAGCAAATTGGGCAATTGCTGAGCATCTGATCAGCTGACAGCCGCCTCTCAGAAGCTCAGTTCGCTCAGACTTACCAGTCGCCTTCAGAGACAGACAGTTGTCAGAGAGTATCTCTGTACTCTTAGACTCGTAGACAGTCACACCAATGCTTATTGTCGACATACATCGCTCACACCCTCGACGGTAGCACCGAGGCTACCTTGCACAAGTCATCGGCCATCCGACACCATCACTGGGGTATTGCATCATTATCAATAGCTACATAAGTATATAGAGATATGCAGCTCCCGCCACCCGTTCGTCGGCCATGCCGGCTGTATGCTCACAGTCGCACGCCGGAGGCGAGGTCGGTAATGGCAGCGACGTACGTCGTTGACGAAGTGGTGACGGGAGCCTCATCGCTAGCCTCGTCGTTCTCCGCGGTGACCGCGGCGATGTGCGTCGTGTTCTCCTTGCCGCGCTTGGCCGTTGCTGCGTCGACATCGGCCTGGGTGAGCGTGCGGTAGAGGTACCGCGGGGTGGGCCCTGCTTGTAGGTCGAGGTGCGGTATTTCACTTGCGTCGTTCTGCACTTCATTATGCCCTGTACCCGCCTACTTGTTCCCTTGTGCATTCACTGTCTGCTTGTCAGCTGTCCATTCGCCAGGCGCGCTCGCGGTTGGCGGACACACCATGCTTCATCTGCATTCACCCGTCTGCACTCGCCCTCGCCCGTCCCCGCCATCCGCTCGCCTTTTCCCGCCACATGCTCACCGTCCGCATGCCTCCCGCCTACGCCCACGCTCCGTCAGCTTGTTATTCAAGTGCCAGCGCCATATCACGAATGAGTCGCAATGTACTCACCGTGTATAGAAATCGGGCGGGCCCGCCGATCCTCTCCTTAATGGAGGGCCGCAAGACGATGCTTTGCGGGATGGGCGGGCGAGTGAATAGACGAGCCGGTAAACGGGCGAGCGGGTAGGTGGATGGGCGAGCGGGCAGGTGGACGGGCGGGCGAGCGGGTGGGTGGAAGAGCGAGCGAGCGGGTGGGTGGAAGAGCGAGCGAGCGGGTGGGTGGAAGAGCGAGCGAGCGGGTAGTCGGGCGAGCGAACAAGTTAGTATGACGGTGCGTGTGCAGGCGGACAGACAGAAGCGCACGGGCGAGAGAGGGTAGATGAGAGAGCTAGTGAAAGGCAAGACTGGGCGGACGAGAGCGAGCGGGCAGGCGCGTGATCTAGCAAGGACGAGCAGGCAAGAACGTGCGAGCGGGCGGACCAGCGAGAAGGTGGGTGGGAAAGCTAGCAGGGGTGAGAGTGGGCAAACGAACAAACTAACGAGGTTAGTGGGGAGACAAATGGGCCAGCAAGAGGGAGGGAGTGGGCTGGCGAGTAGGCGGGCGAATGGGCGAGTAGGCAGGAGAAGGCACACATACGCAAGCAGGCAGACGTCACACTCACCTGTACTATCTCGTCTATGCCCCGCCTCCCCCAGCTCCGTGTTGCCCGTCGCATTTTGCGTGCGTTTTGACGCTACCGCGCAGTCTTGAGGTTGAGTCAGAGTCGACGTTGACGTGGAGGCTGCAACTCGCGAGAGGAGCTAAGCGCCTCAGCCACGACACGTCACGCGCGCTCGCCGGACTTCAGTCTCGTTCCTCCTCGAAGTCCCTGTCCGTCACGTCTGCTTCGCCCTCGCTTGCCCGCTGCCGACCTCCACTGGTACACACAGGCAGGCCCGTGACCCGTCCACAAGAGGACGCGTGCATCGGGCTACTGTACGGCCCAGGATCGCGCTGTATGCGACCGCAACAAGCCCCAACCATGCGCCAAGAGCAGCGCTGGATGCTCGAAGGATTGGCACGCAGGGAGGACAGGGGGTTATGGCCAGCAGGGCGCGAGATTTAGGTGAGTGAACCGTCTTTCACCTCGAACCTGTAGCCGACCGCGGCATGGCCAGCAGGGCGCGAGATTTAGGTGAGTGAGCCGTCTTTCACCTCGACCCTGTAGCCGACCGCGGCAAGCAACCAGCAAGGACGACCGGACGGAGACGAATACGACGGAGATGAATGCGACGAAAACGACCCCAGTACGTACGTCTTACGCTGTCATCGTCGCCATTTTCATTGATCTTTCAGCCTCAAAACTTCCTACTTCCTGCGATACCGGCTGTCCAATGGCTTTCCGCACTCTTGCCCCGACCGGTTCGCTCGGTTCCAGCTTCTCGCGCGGCGCATCCTCTCCACTAATGGGCTTAACCGCTCGCCCGTCAACATCCTCGTCTGGCGCGCTCTCTGCCGCGAACCGCGGCAAGACGCTCCTCCCCCGCCTGTGCCGCGCGGTCTCGTACGTCGACTCGGCATTTGACGTGGACCCCCTGCTCCTCATCCCGCGGACGCTGCGCCACCTTGACGTGCAGCACTGGGATGAGGTGTACGGCTCGAAGCACGGATCATCGACGAAGATGAAGTGCAAGTACAAGCGAATCCTGACGCCGTGCGACCAGCTGACGATACAAGCCCGCTAGTGCAAACCCAACAGGTATGTGCCTGACGAGCCTCAACGTATGGCGCACGCATCCACTCGTCACGACCCAGCTTAACGAGCAGGACCACGACGAGCAACAGCCCACCAGGCATCCCATGCGGCATGCAAGGGCCTGCCGAGCAACAACACGGCATGTCGCAGCCCGACGCGCATAGGCCCGTCAAGGACGAGCGTGCCGCACCCCAGCTCGAGAAAGGCCGCCGAATACAAACACAATGAGCGGGAGCCCGACGCATGTGCGGACCCGCTGGTAGCTCGCACAAGCATACAATACATAGTGATTAACTAGTGTCCTTGTGTACAGCAGTAACAATCAATCACATAATATATGATTTAATTGATTTCTTTCGTCCTGGCTGATTGGGCTGACGAACTGAGAAGTCTGACGGGCAGTCTGAGCGTTCTGAGGATCCTGTCTGACGAGTTAGCATCGAAAGAAACCGAGGTCATGAGGGCTGAAGATCTGAAGCAATCTGAAGCAATCTGAAGGCTTCTGAAGGCTTCTGAACCCACTGACAGGGCCCTCAGACAGATTTCATGTTTTACTGATGGCCGTCACTGTGCGGCGGGTCGTAGAAGAACGGGACACGTCAGACACGCAGCGGTGCATGTCCGACGCGCTACCGTGCGTAGCAGCGGGTACGACGCATAGGTCGTCCCGGAAGGCGGAAGTTCCGTCTTCGTGGCCAGCAGAGCGCACGACGGACGTCTTGTTCGTCGTTACGCCTGCTGGCGCGGACAGTGGCGATGGAGTGGGCACGTCGGACGCGCAGCTGTGTGCGTCCGCCGTGTTGCCGTGCGTAACCGCGAGTACGACCGTAAGGTCGTCCCGGAAGGCGGGAGTGCCGACGTCGTGGCCAGCAGAGCGCACAACGAACTTCGCGTTCGTCGATACACCTGCTGGCACGGGCACTGGGAGCGGGAACGGCGAGGCAGGGACGGCCAGCGAGGGTGTACCTGTGTGCGAGCCTTCGTGCTCGTTATTCCTGCTCGCCCCGCGCCCTTCCCCCTCCTCTTCCTTCCTCTCTTCCTCTTTCCTCCTTCTCCTTCCCTCGCGCCGCGTTCTCTGCGTTCTGCGCAACCTTGTTGCCCGGTGCTGGACTTGCACGCGCGTCGTGCGAGTCCTGAACCGCGCGGTCTTGCTGCGTGTCGCCAGAGCCGCGGGGTCCGGATTGAGGTCTCCATATCCAAGAGAGGAGAGGGTAGAGTCGATTAGAGAGGTCCCGGGTGGAATACGAAGTCCGGGAGAGGAAGGAGGCGGCGGTCTTGTACCGCGCGCAGGGTTGTCACGGTCAGGGGCCCCTAGCTGAACTGGCGGCAGTTCAGCTAGGCGGTTGCGGACTTCAGCTTGCCTGGCCGTTGGGACAGCGCGAGCGCCTTGACGAGAGGTTGGGCGGTGGTGAGAGACGAGGTGGTGGTGGCGGTCGAGAGTAGCGATGTTCTCGGCGCTAACTCTCCGAGCGCTCACCGCCGAGTCCGAGTCACAGCGTGATCAACACTACTACTTAGTGAAAGCCGCAGCTAGGCAGCCACAATGCAAGAGGGAAGTATGTCAGTTGTTTTTCACACAGACCGGGTCAGGCTGCATCTGAGGAGACGGCATGGCGTCGAGCAGAGTTGTAACTTGTATCGTGCACGGCGCTTGCGCGATGTACCAGTTGATTATGTCAGCTCGGCCACATCTACTTACTCATCAGACCTGAATGGATTCGTCCACTCACGTCCGACAGTGCTAGTGATCATTCAGGAGAGTAGTACAGCATTTTTATTCCCAGTGTGATTTTGGGACACATGAGGCGGCTATAATAGCAATTTCCGGCAGTGGACATGTCATCGCATGCTCACCGCGCGCGGGCACTTACTCCGCTCAGTGCGATGATCCCCGCGCTGTGCCCAGTCTCGCAACAACCACATTTTCCCCAAATGATGCGCGGGATGCCCGTTTCAATGACTGAAGATTCAAACCTTCGGAGCAGATTTTTCATAATGGCTTGCTAAACACGCAATCTCGACATGCATAGAGCGAGATCGAGCCCATTCAGCTGTCTCATGGATGACCATGGTACAGCCGACGTGCAGTCTCGTGGAATGGGATGGGATGGGCCGACCTCGGCCGACCACAACCGTCTCATGGAAGGTGATTGAGTCGGCCGAGCACAAGGCGGGCAAGGCGGCACAAGGCGGGCAAGGCAGTGCGTGGGATGATTGGCTGACCCAGACATTCTCGCCCAGCCGACCATTCTGTCTCACCCAAGATGATGCACTATCCGACTGTCGGCTGCAAAGCTTTTGCAGCCGACCACCGTCTTGATCCAGCCGACCTTCTTGTCTCGCCCAAGACGATGCACTATCCGACTGTCGGCTGCAAAGCTTTTGCAGCCGACCACCATCTTGATCCAGCCGACCTTCTTGTCTCGCCCAAGACGATGCACTATCCGACCGTCGGCTGCAAAGCTTTTGCAGCCGACCACCATCTTGATCCAGCCGACCTTCTTGTCTCGCCCAAGACGATGCACTATCCGACTCTCGGCTGGAGAAAATCTGTAGCCGACCACAGTCTGGATTCAGCCGACTGTCTTGTCTCACCCAAGACAATGCATGAGCCGAGCATCAGCTGAGGTATCTTTCCTGGCCGATATCCGTCTTGACTCAGCCAACCTTCTTGGACCTTCTTGACCTTCTTGACCTTCTTACTCACTAAGACCTTTTTGACCCAAGGTAACTAATGGTTGGCTCATCTTCGTCAATACCAACGTGTTAAGGAGGTATCTAGGCGGGCAAATGCCAATGATGTTTCAAGGCGGAAAGTGTCAAGGAGGATGTCAAGATGGCGAGCATATTGAAGAAGCCTTCTTGGAGGTATCAAGACGGACAATGTCAAGACGGACATTTTAAGACGGACATGTTAAGACGGACATGTTAAGACGGACATGTTAAGACGGACATGTCAAGACGGACATGTCAAGACGGGCATGTCAAGACGGGCATGTCAAGACGGACTGGTCAAGAAGCCTCCTTGACACTCACTGTCTTGATAACCTCCTTGACATTATCGGATGTCCACCTTGACAAGACGGACAAGGCGGAGAGTATGCATCTTGATTCTCGACTCAACTTGAATGGTATGTACGTGCAACACTGTATGCTGTTTGCTCATTGGTTTGGGGCCAATGGTGTGGATGTATTATTGAACATGTCCTATAAGTTTGTACTGGGTCTATATGACTCTATAGACAGTCTTTATGGTGGGTATATCAGCAAATAGAGATGCAACGGCAAGACATTGAGGTAACCCTTGTTCTGTCAGAGACTTAGAGTGATTCATGAGCAATTGACAATGATGATACTTCGCTGATCTACTGAATTTGCTGTGGAACTATAGTAGTAGATTAGGCAAGCCACTCACGTAGGCCATTAGCCTCATTGTTGTATATGTAAAGAGCACTTTGACTTTGTGTAATCTCAGCTCATATGAGAAGAGGATCTTCGGATATGTTTCAAAAATGCTGTGTTGTTTGGAGATATTGAGAGGCATGTGGATTAGTTCTCAGCTTCTGCAAGACAATTGTCACAATCAAATGCATACAGGAGTTGTATTCATGCTGTGCCTATGGTATATGTTGCTGCTGGCAATTCCACGAAGCAATCTGGCAATGTTATAGCTTGAGATAGCTAAGAAGGTTATACATGGAGAGCATGTCTTAGACAAATGCATCCCACGGTTCAATTCTCACAGAATTGTATACTGGCCATGTACTACATATATTCATGCTTGGTACAAAGTCTCATAGCATATGGCAGCACAGAGGGGAAGTTATAATGAGAACAAGACCATCCCGGGCGACTCGGGGACATGACCGAGGCAATGTGCGAGGGCAAATCACTGGAGAGAGTTCACATATTTAATGAGCACTCTCTGGCTGCATACTCGTTGTCCGCTCCTTCATACTTCTATACCACTGAATCATAACAAGGATTGTACTGAACATATGATTATGGTATTTCGAAGTAGTAGTAGTCTCACCCATGCTCCCTCTCGTCCAAGATATTGATTATCGTTACTAGTATTATATACCTAACTTCACAGACAATGCATCTCAGTCTCATTTGCCTTCACACTCATTTTCAAGAGACTGAGTTCCTCATACACTGGCTTGCTACATGTTCGAACTCGAGAAACAGGTCGGCGAGTGTGTGAGATGGTGGGCAAACAAGACGGCAGGCAACGCGAACGGCCAATGTACAAGACGGTGGGTGAGCGGAACAGCAAGTCGAGCCATGTGGGAGATGGCAGGCAAGACAGTAGGATAGGAGAGATGAGCAGGACACTGGTTGGTGGGTAATATGGTAGATAGGCAAGTAGATAGGCAACACGGTAGACAAAACCGTGACAGTAGGTGGGTAGGCGAGACGGCGAACAGGTAAGACAGTAGGCCAACGAAATCGGCGACAGACAGACGGAAACGGGCAGATGAGAGCCTCCTGGGGTAGCGAGAATGTCGAGCAAGGGCGTATGCATGGAGTGGGGATGTAGAGAGGACGAGGCCGGGGTGCGTCGCGCGATTGTGTGAAGAAGGGTGGAGGGCGACAGGCGGGGGTAATTACCGCAGTCAGCCCTTCTCATTTCTCCTCTCTGTCGACCTTCCTGCTCCTCTCCTTGCGGTGACTCGTCCTTGTGTTAGTTGGGGCCTCCTTGGGGTGCCTTGAAGCATGCATCGACATGCCGTACGAGGCACGGGCTCACGTACGAGGCGCGGGCTCACGGACGAGCGAGCGATCATGTGGACGATCGGGTTGATGAGTGAGTGGCCAGTGGGCTGAGCAGAAGAGAGCGCGGGCGACAGTGGAGAGCGTGAGCGAGAGGGTGTAGGCGGGGCGTGAGCGAGAGGGCGTGAGCAAGAGCGCACGGGCGAGAGGAACAAGGAGCGCGTGGGCGAGACAGCACATGGGCAAAACGGCACCACGGGTGAGACGACAGGCGGGTGAGACGATGGGCAAAATGACGGGCGAGACGCAGGCGAGCAAGACGGCCGGCAGGCAGCAGGAGTACAATATCAAGAGCAAGCAAGACGGCGGGCGCGAGACGGAGGTGGGACAGAGAGATGCCGAGCGTATGAATCGGTGGGCCTGCGAGACGGTGGGCCTGCGAGAAGGTGGGCCTGCGAGACGGTGGGCCTGCGAGACGGCGGGGGGCCTGTGAGACGGCGGAGGCGTGTGAT